TATGCTGGAACTGTAATTGCTTTTGCTGCACCTTTTGAGGCAGGATTATATGGACACAACCAAGGAGAATGTTACCTGTGAAATGAGTTATTTAGGTAAGCACCCCAAGAAATTTTTCATAAAATTGCAGTTTGTTTCCTAATGAAAAGGGTGTGTAGGAGAAGAGTCTGAACTAGCCTCCCTGCCCAACCAAAAGCATGATCTATATTCCAGGAATTTTAAAGTTAGGTATAGCTTATTTGTCAGTAATAATAAAAAAAGTGAGTTTTACAGTATAGAGGGTGTAAATTTTATTTGCTGCTATCACAAGGCTAAAGTATGCTTACACTGGGTCCACATTGTTTTGTGCTATTAGCCAGGCAACATGAAATAAAGCATTTTAAAAGGAAATTCAGGCTGCGGAGGTAAAAAGCATACGGTAACTAAAAATGTAGTATTTTTTGAAACTTGTAGAACGATAACATGCCAAGCAGATATTTTCCAATTAAGTGTATAGTGGAACAGGTGGTCCAGCTGGTTTTCTTAAAGTGTTTTTGGTAACAGAAGACTGCTCATGAAGTGTAATGGACTCATGAAGATGGTTAGTCTGGATGGTCCAATCCCTTGCTACGTATTTGTTCCACAAGATGCGTGCAAAGGCAAGAGACAGGCAATTGAGTAATGGCTTGTACTGTTAGTTCTGCCTGCAAAGGTGTGAAGAAAAAGCGTTGGCAATCTAGTCTTCATTATTCAGCTACTAAATTTTATTCTAAAATACTAAGTATTTCATAACAGTATTTTAACCCATTAGCAGCTGCTACCTGAATGTTAATCATGACTAAATGTGGCCACAAACAATACACTGAGATAGAGCAGATTCAACAAACTACAGGTGCAGAATCTCTCAAACTTCCATTGGAAGGAAAGCACTCAGGCTCCTTCCCTTTTGGCAAGTACAGGCTGTATATTCCAAGGGAAGAACAATTTGTCAAATGTGCATCAGTCAGAGGACTGAAATGTAAGAAAAATATACACGTTAGTAGATGAGTCATCCCTGGAGTTTTGCAATAGGGTCTTTTACGAGAACTATTGATTCTATAATATATCTGAAACTGAAAATGGTGCTGAATTTTACACATGATTACATTACTTGAATAGCTTGTGTCAGGTTGGTCACTGTTCGGTTTAAACTGTCGGTCAAACTGCCGTCCCTCCAGACATGCAGCCCAGATATTAAAGTCTAGGTCCAAGTTTGTCTTTACGTTTTATCATTGCAGACTGAGTTCAAAACCAAAAGTGGTTTATTGTGCAGCCTTGGTTCAAATAGAGACCACAGTGACAAACCTTTAAAAATCCATAGCCTCTTACCTAAATCTCTGTTACTCTGCAGCTCTTTGTAGTCATTATCATTGTCTTTGAATCTCCTTGGAGTGCAATATTTCAGGTAGATCCAGACATGCATTTATTAAGCTGTCCGTCTACCAGAATTATGTTAAACTTCATTTTTCTGATCTTGTCAGACACTAAAATTACAAAGTCTTGCAGCAATCCATATTTCAATTATTTGCAGAATCTTGTGATTTATGAATTTGTTTCCATCACAATAGTTTTGAAATATGTACACCTCAAAATGCAGACCATTCCCATATATGCTTGCAAATACATACAGGCATGTATTTTCTTTTGGCTACTTTATGTTCTGTCCGGGTGATGCATGAGAGAGGTAAGATACCAAAAGCAGCTTATTCCTTACTTTCTAAAATCAGTATTGGTAGATCTAGTCAACAATGAATATTATTTCCATATTCAATTCTTTCATATTCTTTGTTGCTGTTTGCTATTCAGTGGGTTAATAAGCTTATTTTTGTTATGTATATAGAAATGGTTTGGAGTTAATCAGGATAGTAAAATATTTTTCAATTTATATCTTTCTGACATATTGATTCACTATTAATGCCCCTTCTGATGTAGCTTTCTGGGAAAGCTCTGGTAAAACCTCCAAAGCTCTTCATGGATTTGGCAACATCCACCATTAAAGGATATTTGGATAAATAAATACATTTGAAGACATTTTGTAGTAAATACTTGGAAATCCTTTCAGGGAAAACTGGAAGCTCTGACATCAGCTGTCTGTAAACAGTGCTGTCTGGATTACAGGCACAGCACGTTTCTTGGCAGCGTCTCACCTGGGTTTAGTTAAACTGACAGAAATACACCAGCGGCTGTTACACTTGCTGCTTCCACAAGCCTTAGTGGGTTTACGCAGCCCTGCCCTTGTGCGCACAAGGCATCTCTTCATTACCTGCCTCCTACCCACACCGCTGCCTTATCTCTTGCTTGTAAGAACGGCAGCACAGGGCAGCGGTGTGGCCAAGAAAGGGTAGTTCCGCAGTCTCTCGGGGGGAGCGCCTAGCGCAGAGCGAAGACCCAACAGGACTGCTGCCCAGATGCTGAGCGGGTGCCTAGGCGGACAGGACACTCTAGGTGAGAAATAGCCAAGGGGGACTTACTTGAATGCTCTGGTTGAAACAGGCCAATTTCCTAAGCACGTAAAACCCCCATGGCTTGGCCTGCTGACTATCAGCCAACCAGGTCTAGTTATCACCAAATGTGTGTGTTCATCTGGGGAGTCTCGGTTGCATTTGTCAGGTTCAGTCATCAAAATAACTTTTGGTCCACAGCAGATTCAGAATGGTGTAAGAAAATACGTTGCTCTGTGTGTGGAGTGGTGCCAAATGCCTAGAATAAACAGGTTCTGACTTGCTGCTGCTGTAGAAGGATTGAGGGCAGTCGGGGGTTGGACTAGATGATCTCCAGAGGTCCCTTCCAACCCTGACCATTCTGTGATTCTGTGATTTAACTGCTGGTGACGCAGCTATGAGATCTCATGCTTAAATGAGATCATGAAAATCATGAAATCATCATGAAAACAGAGCTGGTGAAGGGAGTATGAGAGGGATAAAAAGCTACTTTTTATATTGCATTGGCACCTCGCACCCCTAACGTAAGCTATGTAGGCAAACACTGCACTTTGTTCCAAGGCAGTCAGTCCATATCCCGACTGACAGAAATGAACAAAAATAGGAAAAAGAAAATATTTGGCTATAAAGAAATGAACTGTAATCTTGCCTAACAAAAGCTGACTTGTATTGTGTGGTGACCTTCTGAAGCCCACACAGCAAAAGTGGATTGTGACAAAGTTTTGCAAGAATTTTTTGGCGTGGTGTTGTCTGCATGAACATGAAAACCATAATGGGAGAAAAGGACAAATCGTCAGTTAAAGGCAGGACAGCTATCAAAGGATGATGTCTATACAAGCTGACAGACTAAGGCTAAGTCACAGAGGGCCTTTTAGAGGCGACTGCAGACTTGGACCCAGCAGTGAAAAATGGAGTGGGTGGAAGGCTATGGCTTGTGACACTGAGGTAAGGGAGAGAGGGGGGACGATGCCAATAGGAGGATGTCTGGTACCAGTAATGGTGGCAGAGGTGCGGTATGTTCAGCATTGAGGTCCCACATGAGAACCTGGCTCACAAGTTTGGTGCTGCAGACAGAAAAATGGCCAGCTAGTATAGCATCAAAAAGCATAGAGTGGGAGTGATGTCTCAAGGCTTTAATGAAGAGCAAAAGGGGAATCAAGAGTTTAAGAGGAGTGCGGAGCTGGCGGTTTGGTGTTTGTGAGGAACATTTTCTGTTTAAACTGACTCTGTCTTTGGAAAAAGTGGACTTTGGAAATTCCATTTTAGGAAAGCAGAACTGAGTTCTTGCCATAACAGTATTAATTAAAAATCTGCTTTTAACTGTCTACAAACATCAAGTTTAGCAGCAGATGTCAGGAGTTGAGAGCCATCTGGGATGTGCCCCGGAAACTCAAAGGACATTTGGATCAAGAGACGTTTAAGCTATCCAGAGTGAGAGTTAAATCTTGACGAGCTGCCCTGTGGGGCCTTCCTTACAAGGTTTGAGATGTGGCTGGGCATCAAGTGTGGAAAATATTCCTTCTAAAGCATGTAGAGCCCCGAGAAGCTGTGGCTGCCCCATCCCTGGAGGTGTTCAAGGCCAGGTTGGAGGGGGCTTGGAGCAACCTGGGCTGGTGGGAGGTGGCCCTGCCCAGGGCAGGGGGTGGGAACGAGATGATCTTTAAGGCTCCTTCCAACTCTAACCATTCTATGGTTCTATGATCCACTACTACCTTGCTTCTGAAAAGAACAAAGATGAAAAAAAATAGCACAACTTTGACTGTTTTGCCTTTTACTGCTAATGAACCTCTGCCGCAAGCAGCTTAGATTCCTCAGTTTGAGTCTCCAACCCCTTGTTTAGGCTCTACTTCTGCCTGTTGCTGTTGGGTTGTGGGGTTTTTTTGTTTTTTTTTTGTTTTGTTTTGGTTTGTTTTGTTTTTTTTTTTTTTGTTTAGTTTTTGTTTTGGGTTTTGTTTGTGTGTTTTTGTTTTTGTTTTTAAGGTAAATAACCAGTTGCCGTCGGGAGCGTCTGAAGGGCCCTTGCGCTGCTGAGCCCACCCCCCCGCCCTTGCTTTTGGGCTGAAGTAAGGCAAAACTGACGTTCACTGTGCCCATCTTTAAAGCCGACTATAGTTCTTCAAAGCAATTTTAATATTTTTTGCAGATTTTTTTTTTTAATCCAACGTTGTGGATGTAGATAAAGTTTTTCATTTCTACAAAATTGTGCGGATTCTTTATTGCTCCCAAGTATAGCCAACTCTTGACTTCATCGGTTTAATAAAGCTGTGGGATGCAAAGATAATGTGACATTTACTCAGTGAAAGTTCTATAGCCTATAGTAGAGAAAAAGGTAGTAGTGATAATACAGAATAGAGAGCAAAAATTGCTTCCTGATAGTAAGTTGACACACTCAGAAATATTTTCAGGCACCAGCTGATTTCTGTGGAGCTCCCTTGAGCAGAATATGCCCATAATCTGTATCTAAAACCTTCCTTAGAAAGCTGAGAGCTGAGATGTTACCAAAAAAAGAGCCCTCTTCAAATAAAATTAATACAGACTTACCCATGATTAAGTTAAACATGCCTTCTGGTTCATGAAGAACTAGATCTTCAGAAAATGAAGATAGAATGAAATACTACAGTGTTGAGCACACCAAGTAAAGGAATAGGGATTTTACAAAACGGCCAAGAATACTAGATGCTATTTTGTTTTTCAGTTTAGTCTGAAGTGTGAAACACACAATTCTTAAGAAAAAAAACCCAACCATAGACTGTTGTGTTCATGCATGGGTCAACCTGTAATCAGTACTCATTCCAATTCGCTGCGTCACTCTTAAACTCTTACAGTTAACTGTTAATTTTCACTTTAAATTTTATTAACAGGGTGCAAAAAATAAATTAGCCTCTGAAGTTGGTAATCCACAAAATGGCTCAAAAGACATGTGACTTGTTATATGTCTAAAAAATAATTAATATAATAGGAAAACTGATGCTGGGAGAATTAAGTAAGAATACATTTTCAAATCTGAGTGGCCAGAAGAAAGACAGGGAAGAAGGATAGCTGCACACCCTGAAAGAACAAGAATGCCTTTGTTTGTCCTCCTTTCTTTCTCTTTCAGACATCTTTTTGGGGGACAAAAGGGAAGAAATCCCATTGCACAATTCAGAACTGTGGAATGTGCACAGGTCCAGCAGGGGTAAAGGAGAATGTTTTTGTTTCCATCTCCCTTTTGCTGCTTACTGTAGCATTCTGGGTTGTTTTGTTGTAGATTTGTTTGTTTGTTTGTTTGGTATTCCCCCCCTAAAAAAACCAACCCCAAACCAGCAAGTGCTCTGGAGTATGAGTCTTCTGCTTAAATTGCTGATTTGACTCAGGACCTTATAAGAAAGGATTTTGTTCTCAGTGTAGACAGTGCAAAGCAGATGGGTGGCAGCAGAGAGAAGCGCCTGGTCGGGTGGCAGGGACAAGTCTAGGTAACCCTACTTAAAGGCCGGGGTGTGTGTGGCAGGAATAAAGATCTGAGGTGCAGACAAAGCAAACGATTTGTCCAAAGTTGCACAAGAAGTCTGTGGTAAAGGAGGGCTCAAGTCAAAGATAGGTACCTGGTCTAGCAAGGGAGAGTCTGTTTTTTTTCTTTCCCTCTCTTCTCTAGAAAGGCTATTTTTAGCTCTGGCAACTCACTGAGACCTTAGCGAAGATTAATATTAATTTTGCTTATGCAGTTTCTGTGAGGTTATTGCAAAGTTGTGCACTTTTGTTTCTTGTATGCACAATGGATTATTTTGCATTTGTTTACACTTACTTTTTGTCTTCAAGGTATAGCACTTCACTTCTGCTGTTGCAAAAACACAAGACTGCAGCTTCTTTCTTTGTAAAGTTCTTCTTTCTGGAAGGCACATTTAATTTCAGTTTTTAGTGGCTGGGCTTCATTGCCGGAAATGACCATAGTGATTGAAGTTCCTCATAGCCCGAACAAAAAATTGACTTGCAGCTTGGTGCACTAAGGAAACACTTTGTAAGCTCTGGTGACTTTCTGCACTGGGAAATATGCAAAACCCTGGTGCGCATGAAAGCACGGGCTTGCAGTCCCAGCCGCCTCCTGAGGAGCAGAATTATGGAGCTACTGCAGCACGTGTAAGACAAGGTCTAGTCATGTCTATGGCAAGGAAGGGCCCAGCAAAGAGAGAATACCTGATAGTTGCTGTGCTGTGCTATGCAAATTTAATAAATTTCATGGATTGGTTCCTTGTACCAGGTGAGAGCCTATTTTCTTCTTCTAAAAAATTTAAGTTCTCAACAGCTCTACTTTGTAGTTACAAATGTTTTCTAAAGTAAGGATATGCTTTATGTCTTTTTAATCTTTCTCACTTATCTGCTTTAGCCTGGTGGTCATACTCTTAATGAAACTTCCAATTATAAACTTGAAAGACCAATAAATGATGTATTAGTTATTAATGGTTAGTAGAATACTTATAAAAATCGCATTTGTTAAATGCTTAAGATTCATATTTTTAAATCTAAGTCTTTTATAAACAGACTTTAACATACAGAGCGATTAGTCCATTTTTGTGTCTGGATCCTACAGGCTTCCCTTTATTGTCTACAGCAGCTTACCAGGCTGTCTTTGGATCTAGTAGATTAGATACGACATTCCTTTGTCTGAATAATAGTGATGCTGTTTCCCCCATTAAAAGTACAAAAATAATGTTAACTTCGTGCAAGCTTGTTTAGGGGAAGCTTAACTTCCTCATGATCTGCTAGAAATTGTGGGATTTCCGCAATGGAGAGTGTAACATGATTGTGTAAAGAGAACAGAGACCCGCTTCCGTAAGCATCACCTACCAAATTTACAACTTGTTTTCTAATAAATAATATCCTTTTTCCAAAATGTTATTTATTTATTTTTACCTAGCCGCAAAGAGTAAAGCATTGCTTCTGGTAAACTGGTGGGAAATCTATGTCTTTTCCTCCCATATCAACTGTGGTCTGTGTAAATTCTTCTGTTTAGCATCGCTCCTGAGCATCTACCATGCTTCCAGGGATCTGATTTATAAATCAGGAGGAAACACATGTTGTCAGTTTTCACGTTTTACCTCTGAGGGGGCTGGAAATCATAAATGTTTTAGAACTTTGAAAAAACCCAAAGGATAGAGTGTTAAATTTGGAATTAATATCTACTGACAGCACACAAACTAATTTTTTTTGCTACTTAAACCATTCAGAAATTTAAGACATTCAGTCAGTGTCTTTAAAAGTTGAGAGGCTAGTGGGTTTAGGAGTTTAAGCTTTTTTCTTTTGACTTCTTAACCACCTATATAAAAGAGAAGGAAACAAGTAGGAGTGCATGCTGAATGATACTGCAAGATGGGTAGTGAAAAACTTCAATGTATGAGTTCTATTGTGAAGTAACTTTCCCTGGAGAAGGGCAGGGGGACAGGAGAGGATGAAAATATCTTTGAGCAAGAACTGGGATGCTAGGAGGATATGCAGTTGGAAGCACTAAGTGCAAGCAGTCGTTTGGCTCACTCCAGGCTTTGAACTATTCTTTAGCTCCTGTACATGCTAAGAGCTTAAAATTTTCAAGAAGTCCTATGAAGAAAAGCTTGCCTACTTGTTAACATGCTCAGTTTCTTGTGAGTGAGGTATCTTCAGGGACATGTAAGAATTCAAGAACAGGGGTGGGGATAGTGTCCAGGCCTTTGAAATATCAGTCATCTACTTTAGTTACAATATATGACTAAAACAATTTTAAGTTAACTCTATGACCTCCTCGGCCATGGGGGAAATCTGTAGTGCATTTTATACCACAGCAATACACTGTTCATGTGCTAGAATTCAGCTGCATTGCAGAATTCATGCATCAGTACATTTGAGTTTGGCTGTCCATATGTATGAACATATTGTTATATATAAGTTAACAAGAAAGTGAAGGAGAGGCTTGAGTATTTGTTTAAAAGTAAGCTGGTGGCAGTTAGGAAGTTGTGGTTTCTGGGCAGTTTTGCTCACGGGGTTTGACAGAGTTTGCATCAATCTTCACACAAAAAAAAGCTCTTCCACTTAATTGTCTGCTGGAATTGAGTCTTCAGTTTGTTAAAAATGGTGATCATGCAGACTTTTCCCCCTCTGATCTGTTACCCTGTTCCAAGCTGTTCAGATCAATGCTTTGTAATTTGCCAATAACTGGTCAGGCCAGTTATTTCAGTTATGTGGAGGGCATAACATTTTTAGTGGTGCTCAGTGTAAAAGTTAGTTTGAAATCAAGTTGTAGTTCAGGTCAAGTCTTGTATTAGCTGTGATTTTTTCTAAATACTCTATTAGTCCAAAACTGCAGTTCCTGTAATACAGTATTTCTGTGTGTTGATAATTGCCTACCAGAAAGAGTGAATACAATTGATTGTTCTGTTTTAATGATGCAAAATGTTTGAATGAAGTCACTGACTTAAATTTCTGAGACCATTAGGAAAACCTTAAATGCAGAATATGTTCAAGAGTCACTGAGAAACAGCTATAAAAGCCCTGGTGCTGGTGTTAGGCTAGACCTTGATCTACACTGACTTCAAATTGCACCAGTAAATAGTGAGGACATTGATTATGCTGCAGCCACGGGTACTGTAGTTCTTGCAAGCGCTGTTCTTGAAATAAATCTGTGATCTGGCAAATGAATAGAATTACAAGCAATGAGCAGGGTACTTTGCTGTCATTCAATGTTTGACTCTGTTACAGGGATCCTGTTAAATATACAGAAATACTTCGAGCTTAGCGATGGGGACACAGGTCTACTGCAAACAGGTAATAAAGTCTCTTAAGTCCAGATAGTTTACATTGCCTTGCATCTATGTGGTCTGTTTCTAAAACACAGTCTAGTTACTTTTTTCTTCTAGTTCCTGCTTGTGTGTGGTATTGCTCACTTCCGCTTGTGGGCAGGCTGACTACAATGCAAAACTGAAAATCTTTGGTTCAGGGAAGACTGGTGTTGTGTCCTTCAAAAATCCCACAGTATGTGAATCAGAAAAGATGAAGGAATTTCTCAAGAAATACAGAACTTGAGCAATTCACATGTTTTGTTTTTGTATAGGGTTTTCTGAATCTGCATTTATCTTTTTCTAAATTTCAACCTACTTACTAGTTCTACAAACTCAGCTTTCCTTTAATCTCTGCCTTAAAAAAATGACCTGAGTTTGTCTGAGGTGTGAGGAGTACATTTAAAAAAAATAATTTTACCAATATTGTCTTTGCTCCTTCTTGGATTTCCAGTGTTCATCTTGTGTTACATGCTGGCTGCCCCCATCTTTGGATACCTCGGTGACCGGTACAATAGGAAGATCATCCTTGGAGCTGGTATTTTCTTCTGGTCTGGTGTGACATTGGGCAGTTCATTCATCAGTGAATCGGTATGTTGCTTTCTTAGAGGGTACTATGAAAATGATCTGCATATGTTTTGCAGGAGTTGATAGAGTCCTTCTCTGATCACATTTGGAAAAGCTATCAGTG